AGGCCATGGGCATTTGCTTTTCGCTGGCTGGGAACTGGGCTCTGGATTCCTGGTCAGCTTTGCCTGCCTTTCCACCTGGAACTCAGAGCATGATGGGAAAAAAGCAGTCCTCCAGCTGGGGCTGGCCCATGACCCAAGGAGGAGGGGATGGGCAGGGTCTGGCCCATAGGTAGTGATGGTGGCAGCACACAGCAGGGGGCTCCATGCCTCCCCCACAGGCTGCCACCCACCCGCAGTGCCTGTCACTGTGTCCAGGCAGCCATTTACAGATGCCCAGCTATTTGTCTTGGGTTCCCGCCCAGAGCTTGGGAAGGCTGAGGACTTGCTTTTGGTCCCATGCCACCTGCTCCATGCCGGTCTGCCATTGCCTCCTTTGCTCCTTACAGGTGTCCCGGGAGGAGAGTGTTACTGAGGAAAGAGGTCAGGGGTCTGCCCAAGCCCCCGCACAGCCCAGCTATTCTGATTCCTGCTCCTGCTGCACTGGTTAGGGGGAGGGAGGGGGTGGTAGTGGGGCAGGAGCCCTCAGACCCCAGCCTTGGCGTCAGGGATGTCTCCTCCCACCTCCTGGCCCAGCGGTCATCTGTGGAAGCAAGTCCTCCTCCTCTCACTGGGACAGGATGTGCCGGGCTGTGCTTGGTACAGGCTCCTGCCTAGGATCTGGAGGAGGGGTAGTGGGCATGGCTGCCTTCTGTGTCCTCTTTGGGGTTTTCAGTTAAGCTGGCTGCCTTGCAGTGTCCCTTGCTTCCTCCGAGCTCCTTCTTTACTCCTTAGCAGGGCTGAGAACCAGCATCTATGGAATGTCTCGTCGGGTTGAATTCACAAGGTGCAGGCTAAGCCCCATATCACAGATAAGGAAACCAAGGCTTGGGAAAGCAGAACTCACATTCCAAGGTCACCCCTGCCGCGAGGAAGAGGAGCTCCTGGGACTGGGGCCAGGTCCGTGTGACTCCAAGCCTTTGTTCCTCACTGCCCCTGCCCCCCCTCTTCCCCAAGAGACAGACCAGTCTCCTTAGGGGCAGACGGCACACGGTGCGGCGGGAATCTGCAAGGAGCACACTCAATGGGGAACTTTCCCCATTGAAAGTCTGTTCCCTCGCGGCCACGGGTGATGTATGGCTGGAGCTGATGAGAAATGTGCGATGGAATGGAGGCGGGCGGCCCGGCATTGAGATTCCGTGGGGCGCGGGGGGCGGCACAGGCCCCGACACGGGCCGGTAATTGATCTGGAGGTGCCAATTTGCAGCAACTAAATATTTGGTTTCTGCTTCTGCCGGCACCGCGCTCTGCTCAAACAAACTTCAATTAAAAGCGAAAAGCGAAGGGCTAGGGAGGGGGCGCGCCCGGGTTCCCGCGGCGCGATCGATGGCATAGAGCCAGCACGCTGGGTGGGGGCCCTCGGGGACCAGGACCGCCCCGGCGGGCGCCCTCTTCCAGATCGCCGAGCACCGAGCAAGCGGCCTGCCAGTCACGGGTCCTGAGGGCGGAGGGAGGGCCAAGGTGGCATCAGCCAGAGAGCCGGGGCCTCCTCTGAGCTCGGATGAACGGATCTGGTCTCATCCTGGGCCAAGCTGGGCACGCGTGGCTACAAGGCCAGACCCCCGCGGCGCCTCCCGAGTGTCTGCAGCTTGCGGAAGGCAAGGTCTTGGGGCGCTGACCATCTGCCTGCCAGGCGCGCTGGGAACCAGGCTCCCTTCTCTCGCAGCTCTGCCCAGTCGTCCAGCCTTTGGGCTACAGAGAGGGTCTCATCAGGCCATAGCTGCCACAGGGGTTTTCTAGGCAAACCAAGCAGCAACGCGCATTCTCTGGGTGGGGCTGATGGGTGCGGAGGCTTGTCCCTCGGGGACCTTCCAGCATCCGTGCTGGGATCAGGAGCCCCTGACAGGTGCAGGGAGGCAGCCTGGGAGTGGGGGGGGACAGGAAACAGCTATGGGAGAGGTGGGAGAGCAGGGGCGAAGGTGGAGCTGACAGAGACGCAGCCAGGGGGTAGATGCAGACTGCTGGACAGTTTGGGGGCACATGGGGTCCTTCCACCCAGGGGGCTTGGAACTAGGTGGAGAGAACCAGGACGGTGAGTGGCAAGTCCTTGTCCCCTGGCTCAGTCTTGGCCCACTTTCTGAAGCAGATCAGCAGGCAACTGGGCGGAATACACTTTTCCCTGCACCAAGGGAGGGTCCTTTCCTCCCCACCCTCAGGAGCCCCAGTCCAGGGTCAAGGGTCAGGGCACCAATCTTGCCAGTGGAGGTCCTGAAGGCTCTTCTGTATAAGAAGCGTCCAGATGCTCCTGTCCCCAGCACTCTTGCCCGGTGTCCAGGGCTGGGCAGGGGGCAGACTAGATTCAACACCTTCCCCCTTCTATCCCCTCTGTTCTAAGCTGGATGCCCGGATGCCCAGCCCCTCCTCACCCACCCTCAGCTCTCTCTCTGATTTGGGGACACCCATCTTCCCAACACAGGAAAGCTGGGTGCAGAGCTGAGTGTGGCTGAGGTATAGCCTGGAGCTGCACGGGCCTCCTCCCATGCCCCAGCACCTCCTGGGGGCTGCAGCAGCCCCTGCCCAACCAGCAGGCTGGGCATCTGCTGCCCCCCTTTCCTCCCTCCTTCCCCCTCCCCAGTGCTGGGCGGTGGAGCAGAATGATTTCCTGTAATTGGCCAGCAATCTAGCCACCCTGACTTGTTCTATCGACATGCTGGTTAGCTGGAAATTGTATTGGAATCTGAGCAACCGTGAGGGAGGGAAAGAGGTAGGGAGTGGAGAGTTGGCCTTGGGGCCCAGCTGGGGGCAGCCTCAGCTCTGGTGGGCCAGAAAGCAGTGCATGCAGCCCTCACCATCTCCAGGGCTGGCCCCTCCTATGCTATGTCCCTCAGCCCCACCCCTAAGGGCCCTGGTGAGAACCACAGCCCCCTCCCAGCAGATTCTTGGGCTTGCAGGCTCCAGGTGGAGCATCCCATCCCTATTTCCCAGGCCCAGGAAACACACTGAACATCTTAAAAAGGCTTTCAAGAACTGCTGGACAGAGGTAGCACTTCCTGTAGCCATTCAGATCCCTGCACCCCACAGCAGAGTGGCTGGGCTCAAGTCCTGATGGCTTATTTTTTTTTTTTTTTAGAGATTTATTTATTTATTGGAAAGTCAGATATACAGAGAGGAGGAGAGACAGAGAGGAAGATCTTCCATCCAATGATTCACTTCCCAAGTGACCGCAACGGCCAATGCTAGGCCGATCTGAAGCCAGGATCCAGGAACCTCTTCAGGGAATCCCACACGGGTGCAGGGTCCCAAGGCTTTGGGTCGTCCTATACTGCATTCCCAGGCCACAAGCAGGGAGCTGGATGGGAAGCAGAGTTGCTGGGATTAGAACTGGCATCCATATGGGATCCTGGCGTGTTCAAGGCGAGGACTTTAGCCACTAGGCCACGCTGCCGGGCCCAAGTCCTGATGGCTTTTAAGCCCATTTCCTGTCCATGTGTGCCCTGGGAGGCGGCACCCAGGGCTCAAGGCACCACTTGGAAGACTGCAATGGAGTTCTGAGTTCCTGGCTTTCCCCTGATCGGAGCCAGCAGCTGAGGTATACAGGGAGAGTGAACCAGCAGGTGAAAGATTTGTCCAGATATCTGCCTCTCAGAAAAATAATATCAGATCATGTTATCACCCACTGGGTAGCACAAGTGGTAGGAGCAGCCCAGGTGTGGGGTCCTGGAGTTGGAGGTTAAGTTTGCTGCTGATCTCACCACCCCCATACAGGCGGCCCAACCCCTGGCCTTGCCTCTCTTGCAGAGTTCGGAGGTAGCCAACCATGTGATGACCTGTTGGGGCCATTCACCCTCCAGCCACTCTGGACCTGTGCTCTTGGTTCCCTGCCAGGATGCGAGTGCATCTGCAGCCCTCCCGGGTGCCCTTGAGGCCCTAAGTGGGGGCACACAGCATCCCTGTGCCCAAGGCGTCGGGTGGGAGCCCAGGCTCACGCAGCACATCCACCTCTAAGCACTGTAGCCCAGGAGCCCGCGTTTCCCGGAGGGAGGTCGGCCCCAACCCGGGCATATGCTGCCACCTGCTGGTCGGAGGGGTAGTCGCCTGACCGGCTGTTCCCCAGCCCGCTGTGGAAAAGCAGCAGGCTGCCATCTGAGGTCTCCTAGGACCCGGAGCCTGGGGTCATGAGGGAGACATAAGCAGGGGCAGAGGAGCTATGGCCACATCCAAGCAGACACAAGGACCGCATCTGGGGTTTCCCCCAACACACTTTCCAGTCTGGGCTTTCTCAGACATGCTCACATTCAATCTAGTACGCCCAGCCAGCAAAGGCTGTCACCACTCCACTTACCAGAACCGGCAATGTATGCCTACTTGGTGATGGAAACCAAAGGCAAAAGGTCACAACATAGGCATAGGAGACAGGGCTGGGCCCCAATCCCAGGTCCCTGGCTGTCCCTGAGGAGGCTCAGGGGGTACTGTGGGCAGAGGTAGGACCCAATAAAGCCATGTTGGGGCCTGGAACAGCAATGTCATGTTGCCTACAGGGAGTCATAAATCTAGCATGCCACAGGCCCTCAACCATCTTTCAGATTATTGGGGTATCAGGCCACGGAGGGGGACTCAATGCTTTCTTCCCTTCCCTCATCCTGCCACCTCTCACCTAACTGGGGAGCAGTGGGCATCTGTTCCTCACTGGGCAGCCCACAGCTGGCCTGCTCCCTGGTGTCTGCCTGAAGCTAATGAACTGGTCCAGAGGTAGGAACAGCTCTGAGATAGAGGGCAGCAAGCGTGACCCCCCGGAGCACTGGCATTAGTCACCCTTGTTTCTGACCTGAATAGGTTCCAGCCCCACAATCCACACATAGGCAGACTCCTGAGGGCCACCCGCACTGGTCTAATGGGGCTGGCAGAGGCAGATGGTGCAGTGGGACAGGCAGGCGGGTGTGGTCCAGCCCTGGCTCTTCCGCTCACCTCCCACAAAGGCACACTGGACCTGGTGGCCATCGTCCTGGGGTCTAGGCACTAGCGAGGACAGGGGCTGCCGTAACCTCAAATGCCATCAGTCAAGTCTGGGAGTTCAGCCGCCCAGGGCATCTCTGGTCCACACACTTTATTAAGCACTGACCATGAGCCAGATTCCGTACCGGTGACCTGGGGCTGAGCAGGACCATCCCTGCCCTCAAAAGGCTGGCAACCTAGCCAGAGGTCACAGCCAGCTCTGAGCTGTTCTGTGCCAGGAGGGAAGGGGAGGATTAAGGGTGGGGAGAGGCTGCACACCCAGCCTGCCAGGGCTGCAGACAAGGCCTGTGCGGGGGAGTTGGCCAGGTGCCAGGGGACACAGAAGCATCACGGGGGTGGGAGGGCCACTCAAGGAAGGCACAGAGGTGAGACTGTGGGATGTGGTCTCCTGAAAGTGGCTGTACTCTGCCCACCGACCCCATTATCCACAAGAGCCTTTTCCACACCTGGGCTCACCAGAGGGAGGGCCCTGATGGAGGGTGGAAGCCTTTAGTTCAAAATGAGTTGTGACAGCGATGGCCCCGGGAGATCTGGGCCGTGACACAGCCTGCGCTGAGGGCCCAGGAGCTGGGAGGCCTGGCCTTGGAGCTGCCAGGGAGACTGGGAGACCCCAGTCTTTGGGACCCCGACCATGGATCTCCTATCCATCAGGGCTGCTGTTCTGCAGGAGATGTCAAGGAGGGCGAGAGGCAGGACCCGGACTGTGGCTGCCCCCGCCCCTGGTCTCAAGGCAGCATATAGTCTAGAGGAAGGTGCCAGGTGGGATCCGAGCGTCCAGAGAATGTGTGTGTTGACGAGGGTGAGGAAACAGGCTGCACTGCCAGGTGTCTGCCCACAACGAGGCTGTGGCACCCGCGGCTAAGGGTGAGGCAGCAGGTAGCGGCTGAGCAGGTAGAGAAGGCTTGCGAGGGCGGCCAGGCCTGCGAGGACACCCAGCCTCAGCGGCAGGTACTCCAGGGAGCGCTCGAGCTCCGCGTGCAGGAGGAGGACCTGCCGCCTGGTGGCGCTCCACTCGCCCGAGTTATCCAGGACGTGGCGGGCCAGGTGGATCTTCTCCGTCAGGGGCAGCTGGGCTCTGATGCGGGCCTCGGCGTCCTCGCGGCTCAGGTTGTTCCGCTGCATCAGCCGTGCCAGCTGCGTGTCCCGGTCGCTGAGGACGGGGCAGAAGGGCAATGTGGGCCCAGCCTCCCTTCTACAGGGTGGGCAGTCAGGTCAGGCCCCACCTGGAAGGCGGTGTGTGGGCCCCCCTCGTCCCTTGAATACCCCCCCTTGATCTACTTCAAGTCTGCAGCTGGGAGGGGGGCCTGGAGGCCTGTGGGTCTTCCTGCGCCATGCTGCCCTCTGGTGATGCCCTGGCTTCCCCCAGACATAGGTGGGGCAGCTGCCTGCTGCCAGCCACCTATAGGACAACAGGGTCTGACCAGCTGGACCTAGCTGCGTGCAGAAGCCTCTATGGAAACCTTCCGTGACAGGTCCACGCCCACTGCTCAGAGCTGCCTGCAGTTTTCCTGGGAGCCAGGGCTGATGGGATCAAAACCAGCCCCCCAAGCCACCATAAAGACCCCATCGATTCTATGAGCTGTCCCCGGCATCCGACTGCAGGGTCTTAGGAGGGGCCAGCTGTTCTCCACTGACCAGTGCTTATCTCTGCTATGCCATCAGGCCTGGGCTTTCCCAGTCACAGCGAGAAAGCAACTGATTTCTCTTAGGCTCTTAGGTAGCCTGGAAAGTGGACCAAGCAAGGAAGGCCCAGGGGAGGCCAGCTGCTACCACGATGAAGTGCTCCAGCCCCAGGGTTCCTTAGCTGTGGTGCGAGCACAATGGGGCGGGCATGGCAACGGGATGAATGTCTGTGTCTGGGAGAGCCAAGGGAGGGAAGAGAGGTGGCTAGGGCTGCCTGTGCACATCTCCGGAGGCGTGGAGCAGACCTGGGGGGCCTGGGAAGAGGAGGCAATGCTCACCAGTAACTAGTCCTGGCGCACAGAAATGGGGCCATCACAGAGGTATAAGGTGTGATGCTATTACTGGTGACAAAATTTTGACCCAAATGCTTTCTCACAATTGGCAAACTTCTCAAAAATATGAATTGGGGTAGGCATGTCACATAGCAGGTGAAGCCACCATAGGGGTGCTGATTTGAGTCCTGGCTGCTCCACTTCCAATCCAGCTCCTTGCTAATGAGCCAGGAAAGCAGCAGAGGAAGCCCGTGCACTCATGTGGGAAACCCGGAGGAAGCTCCTGGCTCCTGGCTTTACCTCAGTCCTGATGTTGCAACCGAGCTGGGGAGTGAGTCAGCAATGGAAGATTCTCTGTCTTACCCTCTCTCTCTGTAACTCTTTCAACAGAATAAATCTTTCAAAAAATATGAATAACTGTGTTTTGGAATAGTCACTTGAGAAATACCCCAATTTTTTTTTTTAAGTGCTCGAAAGGCAGAATTACAGAGAGGAGAGAAATAGAATCTTCCATCCACTGGTTTACTCCCCAAACAGTGGCAACGGCTGGAGCTGAGCCGATCTGAAGCCAGGAGCTTCCTCTAGGTCTCCCATGTGAGTGCAGGGGCCCGAGTGAGGGCTTTCCTAGGACATAAGCAAGGAGTTGGGCTAGAAGTCTAGAAGTCTAGCTGCTGGACCCAGTGTGATAGCGTAACAGCTAACGTCCTTGTCTTGAACATGCCGGGATCCTTATGGGTGCTGGTTCTAATCCAGGCAGCCCCACTTCCCACCCAGCTCCCTGCTTGTGGCCTCGGACAGCAGTCAAGGACGGCCAAAAGCCTGGGGACCCTGCATCTGCATGGAAGACCCAGAAGAAGCTCCTGGCTTCAGATTGGCTCAGCTCCAGCTGTTGTGGCCTATTGGGGAGTGAATCATCGGATGGAAGATCTTCCTCTCTGTCTCTTCTTCTCTCTGTATATCTGCCTTTCCAGTAAAAATAAATAAATCTTAAAAAAAAAAAAAAGAGTCTAGCTACTGGGAGTGTGGGGGAAGCTGGCACAATGGTTCAATTGGCTAATCCTCCTCTGGCAAGCGCCAGGATCCCATATGGGTGCTAGTTCATGACCCAGTTCCTCTATTTCCATTCCAGCTCCCTGTTTATAACCTGGGAAAGCAGTGGAGCATGGCCCAAAGGAGAAGCCTCCTGACTTCGGATCTGCTCCACCTATTGCAGCCATTTGGGGAATGAACCAATGGATGGAAGATCTTTCTGTCTCTCCTCTTCATAAAATCTGCTTTTTCAATAAAATTAAATCTAAAAAAAAAAAAAGTGAAACATCCAGGACTTGAACCAGCACCCTTCCTTAAAGGATGCCAGCACCACAGGTGGAAGTTTAGCCTATTGCACCATGGCATCAGCCTCAAAATATCCCATACTACTGCTAACACATCAGGAGATGTCTGCTAGGTAAAGCATAGATGGTGAAAGAAAATAATCACTTCTCTCTCTGGCCTCCTGTGAACTGCACAGCCACCCACACAGGCTGAAAATGGAGCAGGAACTGCACCCAATAAATAGGTACAGGCTCCTCTGCCTCGTGCGTGGGGCTGGAGATCTCCCGAGAACAGCATGAGTGGCAGAGCCCCACTGGTTGGTTAGAGCCGCAGCTATGCCTGCTCTCAGCAAATAAAGCCCCAGAGCTGGGCAGGGGTGGTCCAGGGGCAGTGCATGGTCACCTGGGGGCTGCCCCTGGGCTCTCCATGCAACTTCCTGTGTGCAGGACCCTGGGCCACCACTGTGCCCTACGTCGGAAGTACCAATCCCTGACTGTCTCAGGCTGGAAGGTAAACTGAGGCCAAGCGGCAAGCATGGGAGTTGACTGGGAAGTTGAGAAGTGCTATAGAAGGAAGGGAGCTAGGGAATAGTACACTATGGTGGCAGAGGGCAAGGCCTGGCACCCGGGATGGAGTGCCTTCAACAGCCAGCAGGGGTAGCCCGTCCCAAGCACTAGAGAAGCCTGGGGGCTGACACTTCTCCCACGGGCACCCCAGGTGCACCACAGTCAGGCACAAAGGTTGATTTCTGTAGGCTCTGGGCACTGCTGCCCAAATCCCCTGTGCCATACAGTGGCTCTCTCCCTCCCATAGCTAGCAAAGTGATATGGGCATCATAGAAGCACATGCTTCCCCCCAGAGGCATATTAAGACGTATCACACACTCACCAGTACACCACCACCGTGTGCTTCATGTACTTGAGGAGCTTCTTGGTTTCAAACAGCAGGGGGATATCCAGAATCACGTAGCGGTACCCTGGGGAGGGAACGGGTCTCATAGGTTCAACTCTGTAAGTACACCGTGAGGACCGCTGCGAGCCAGGCAAGGGAACAGGGACAAGACCACCACCACCGGGCTCAACCGTCACAGCGGGGACACCTTGGGCCGGGCAGGCCAGGACACACACAGCAGCTGGGAGAGAGCCTGGAGCAGGGCAGGCATTTTGCACTGGCCTTGAAATGCTGGAGGCCTCATGCTGTCTGAGGTGAGAAGGCAGAGGCCGAAGCAAAGCCCAGGAGCAGGGAGGCGCCATGTCCGGGCCCAGGTAGGGGCTTCAGGCAGGGCAAGGGAAGCTGAGAAGCTGCTCAGGGCACCAGCCAAGTATTTAGTCTGCCCTGATCTTGGACCTAAAAGGAGGGAAATGACACAGTGGGAGTTGACGGGCATAGTTCCAAAAGTTGCCAGGCCCTTTCTGCCCAGCAGACCCTCTCTGTGTCCCTGGCTATGGAGAAGAGCCACTTCACAACAGGGCTGTGTGCCCACGGCAAGCCGCCAGCCCTGCGCAGTGCCCTTTACATGGGGTAACTATTCCGTTGTTCCTACAGGTCCTCCCCACTGCAGTTCAGAGGAGGAGCCAGCCCCCCCCCCCCCGGCCTCTTATCTCCCTCTCCTGCTTGGCCCCCCCCCCGCCTCCTCCCTCCCCCACGTCTTCCTCCTGCCCCCAGCCTATGCTGTCCTTTCTCCTGGGCCCTCTCGGGAGCTCCTGGCCGCTCTTGGGTTCACCGGCAAAGGGCTATTCAGCTGTCACCTCCCTCCGGCTTGGTGAGCTCGGCAAACTATCTCGACTCTATTAAGACATCCGTCTGCCTGCAGAGAGACCTCCCAACAGCTGGTGATCTTATCTGACGTTTGATTATACCAACTTTGACAGTTGCATTTGTTATACTCATCAGGGAAAAACGGGGACGGTGGAAGCCACAGCTGTCGTCCCCATTTTTCACCTTATCGAGCTGAAAAGAGCTTTCTCCTTTTATTTAAGTGGCACTGGTGGGGGAGGCGGGAGGCTGGGCGGATGACACAGTGCGAGAGCTTGGGAGCGAGTGACATTCTCCGACACTTGATTTCAGGAGGGGAGAGCAGAGGAGGGCAGCTGTGGCCCCCGCAGCCTTGCAGATGTATTCACAACTGGCCTGGGAGTGAACGCAAAAGGGCAGGGATGAAAGGCAGAGGCTTAGCCCTGGCCAGGAGCGAGAGGCAGGACAAAGACAGACTCCTTGAGCGAGGGGGCGGCAAAGGGGGAGGGGGGAAGGCCTGTGGCAAGGCTCTGAGGTCCGAGCTGGTCCTGCAGGGACAATAGCCACAGCCAGCTCCAGCCTTGCAGGGCTGGGAGGGGAGGGGCAGGACCAGGGAAGGCCAAAGGCAAGGATCTCTACCAAGTCTACCAAGTTCTCCTAGAGGGAGGTAGCAGCCATAGCAGAATGGGAGCAGGGCAGGGGCCCCACTCTGTACAGGAGACCCTGAAACAGGACAGAATAAAGGGTTCCAAGGGAAAACCTGAAGTGCCCCATACCCTCCAGGGAGTAAAGTGTCTACTTCATGACTGATAGCAGGAGACAGGCAGCCAAGCTCTAAGCTTAGAGGGTCAAACTGGAGACCACTCCACTAGAATCCTGCAGGCAGGTCTCCCCAGGGGTCCTAGGCTTGGTACTCTGTCCTCCTGCTTCAGGTAACTGACCCCCATGAGGGCTGGAGCTGGGAACTCTATCCAGGTCTCCCAGGTCGGGGCCCTAAGTGCTTGAGCCATCATCTAATGCCTTCCCCCATGTACTATCTGCCTCAAGTGGAATCACAGGTGGGGTCCCTGCTAAAACACCTGGGAAAGCAGTGGAAGGTATCTTAACCCTTGCTACCCACACTGGAGAATGGCTGGAGTTCCTGGCTCCTGGCTTTGGCCTAGCCTAGTCTCAAACACTGTGGCTACTTAGGGAGTGAACAAGCAGATGAAAGATCTGTCTCTCCCCACCCCCCACTTTTTTTTTTTTTTTGCATAATTCTGCCTTCCAAAGAAAATAAACTAGATACTTGCGTATGGGACATGGGCATGTCTAGCAGTGGCTCAGCCATGGCACTGCCATGTCCTCCCCTGGCTGGCCTTTCTGTGTGACAACTGACATCATTGATGCAGACTCATCCATCCTGCCAGTCTTTGGGGTTGGCATCACTATCTGTGCAGATGAGGCCGAGGCGGAGGGCCTGGGTCAGCTGGCAGAGACACACAGCTCCACACTGTCAGCCTCAGGACTTGAACTCAGGTCTAACCCCACATTCATCAGCTGCTGCTGCCCCCATCTCTACTGGAAAAGACAACTGACTTCTCAGAGACCAGGGCTCAAAACGCTTGCCTCTTCTCATTGAACTGTCAGCCTTCTCCTACCTGCTTGTTCAGGCTCCAAATGGCCACAATGGCCAGGGCTGAGGCAGGCCAAAGTCAGGAACCTGGAACTCCTTCCGGATCTCCTACATAGGTACGCGGGCTCAAACACTTGGGCCATCCATTCCTGCTTTTCCCAGGCCATTAGCAAGGAGCTAGATCAGAAGCAGAGCAGCTGGAACTTGAATTGGTGATCATATGGTATACTAGCATTATAGGTGGCAGCCTTATGCATTATGCCACAGTGCCAGACCCTAAGCTGCCTGTACCCTAAGGTGTGCCTTCTTAAACATGTGTCTGTTTCCTGGGGTGGGCTCAAGGCTCAGCCCAGGGCAGTGAGAGTCAGGAAGCAGTGCGAGGTCATTGGCCTGAATGACTAGCTCTGCACCCGGGCCTGGCCAAATGTGCTGCCCTTGGTGCCTGAAGGAGGGCTCTGCTCTGGACCTTACCCCGGAGGAAGTACTTGAAGGTTTCCTTCACCATCTCCTTTCGGATTTCGGGGTGCGTGATGCTGTTGAGGAGCTGCCGCTGGCTGGGCTCTTTAAAGATCAAGTCGCCTAGGATCTTGCGATCGATTTCGCCGTTCTCCAGCAAGACCTCCCGACCAAAGGCCTCCACGATGCGCCGGTGGGCTGGGTATCCTGGCTGGACAACTGTGGCAGGAGGAAGGGGTTGTGCCATTCAGCGAAGTCTCCAGGCCAGCCGGAGGATCTCAAAGGACTAGAGGCAAATGACGGGGAACCCAGAGGTGCTTATATGAGGGGAGACAGTTAAGCATGAGCCGAGAGCACAGAACACTCCCTGCTGATGGTGGACACAGCAAGGGAGTAGACAGGGCACGGGCAAACATGAGGTGGGGAGCAGCCTCGCTTTCCCCAAGCCTCCAAGTGGCTTTACAGAGAGAGGTGAAAAGGGGGGGAATCGCACCCCCAACCTGGCATCCTCCCACTCACCGTGCCGGGCAATGATGTCCACGTCGATCACGGCACAGCCCAGCTGCTGGAACACCTGGATCACCGAGCTCTTACCTGAAGCAATGCCCCCTGTCAAGCCTACCAGGAACATCTTCCTAGCAGAGGCAGATCCGCAAGATTACAGAGTCAGGACCAGAGGATCACCGATGAGCAGGGCAAGCCTGGCCAACTGGGACGTTCCGCCAAAGGAAGGCCAGGGGATCTGCTGACAGAAGTGAGAAGGCTGATAAAGGCCTGGGGGAGGAAGGGAAGAGACAGGGTCTGACAGGCGGTCAGGCCCCCATGCACGGGGCGCTCTGGGGCCACACGGAGGGTCAGGCCCCCATGCACGGGGCGCTCTGCGGCCACACGGAGGGTCAGGCCCCCATGCACGGGGCGCTCTGGGGCCACATGGAGGGTCAGACCCCATGCACGGGGCGCTCTGCGGCCACACGGAGGGTCAGGCCCCCATGCACGGGGCGCTCTGCGGCCACACGGAGGGTCAGGCCCCCATGCACGGGGCGCTCTGCGGCCACACGGAGGGTCAGGCCCCCATGCACGGGGTGCTCTGGGACCACACGGAGGGTCAGGCCCCCATGCACGGGGCGCTCTGGGGCCACACGGAGGGTCAGGCCCCCATGCACGGGGCGCTCTGCGGCCACACGGAGGGTCAGGCCCCCATGCACGGGGCGCTCTGGGGCCACACGGAGGGTCAGACCCCATGCATGGGGCGCTCTGCGGTCACACGGAGGGTCAGACCCCATGCACGGGGCGCTCTGCGGCCACACGGAGGGTCAGACCCCGTGCACGGGGCGCTCTGGGGCCACACGGAGGGTCAGGCCCCCATGTACAGGGCACTCTGGGGCCACAAGGAGGGTCAGGTCAGACCCCGTGCACGGGGCGCTCTGCGGCCACACGGAGGGTCAGGCCCCCTGTATAGGGCGCTCTGCGGCCACACGGAGGGTCAGGCCCCCTGTATAGGGCGCTCTGAGACCACATGGAGGGTCAGACCTCGTGCACGGGGCGCTCTGGGGCCACATGGAGGGTCAGACCTCGTGCACAGGGCGCTCTGGGGCCACATGGAGGGTCAGACCCCGTGCACGGGGCGCTCTGGGGCCACATGGAGGGTCAGACCTCGTGCACGGGGCGCTCTGGGGCCACATGGAGGGTCAGACCTCGTGCACGGGGCGCTCTGGGGCCACAAGGAGGGTCAGGTCAGGCCCATGCATGGGGCACTCTGGGGCCACACGGAGCGGAGGGTCAGGCCCCCTGTATAGGGCGCTCTGGGGCCACACGGAGGGTCAGGTCAGGCCCATGCATGGGGCACTCTGGGGCCACATAGAAAGCCTTCAGTATTCTTCTAAAGCATGGATAAAGGAGGGAAACTGACTCAGTATAAATCTAGCAGACACAGTGCTGGGCAGGAAGTGGGCATTTACTTTCTGAAAGGTTGGGCAATGTCTCCTCCTCAACCAGTGGCTGCCCAGATGGGAAGCCCAAAGGCAAGCCGTGGCTTGGAGGCTCCTGTGGGGAGGGACTATATGGCGACTGGGGGCGGGGAGGGATATGACAGGCTAGGAGGTGGGGGGGTGCCAGCTGGAGCTAAGCGCCACAGCTTGTAGCTGGTAGATTGCAAAGGTTAAGAGCGTGGGCCTCTTCAAATCTAGCTTCTCTACTGGCATGCTGTGCAACTCCGGGCATGCCTCTTGCCTTGCTGAGCCTCAGTTTTCTCATCTATAAATTGGGGTTAGAAGAACCTGCCTTACATGGCTCCATGCAGACCGGACGGGAAAAGGTGCAGAAAGCTGAGGTACACCGTGTGTGGGAGCATCCTCATTCCCACAACCCCAGGCTGCCACAAGAGACTCTGGACAAACCAGGTTGCACTTTCTGGAGTGAGTGGGGCTATCATGCGTAGGACTTTGTTCCCAGACTAGGAGCAATGAAAGGCCAGGTCCCCTTTCCTCCTCCCTCCAGTGTCAACTCAAGATCTTTTTTTTTTTTTTTTTTTTGCTAAATAGAGGATTTACTGTCGTAATTATACTTTGGTTGAGTTTATACTGAGCTGAAGTTGCCTTCCCGGAAGACATGGCAAGTGGCAGTGAGAGGCAGCCGTTTGTATGTGGGCTAGGGGTGATGAGTGGGACCAACCTGCAAGCTTAAATCTTAAAGCCCAGGAAGCCAGGGATGGAGAGAGGAAAATAAATATTTATTAGAGGTGAACGGAGACCCAATGGGATTATTCAGCCATTTAAGGAAAACATTCCTCCTTACTCTGAGGCTCGAGTCTTCAGCCAGGTTACAGAGACATGGGTGCAGGACAGGGTTCAGTTGTGAAAAGAACTAAGTTGGTCTGTTTCACTGAAGCTTTGAGACAGAAAATTCAGGAGCCAACATTGTGGTGAAGCACGTTAAGCTTCGGCCTGCAATGCCGGCACCCCATGTGAGTTCTAGTTCAAACCCCAGCTGTTCCACTTTCAACCCAGTTAGCTGCTGATGTGCCTGGGAAAGCAGTAGAGCGTAACCCAAGTGCCTGAGTCCCTGCCGCCCATGTGGTAGACCGGGACGGAGTTCCAGGGTCCTGGCTTCGGCCTGGCCCAGGTGTTCCCACTGCGATCATATAGAAAGGACACCAACAAATGTAAGATCACTCTCTGCCTCTCACTAAGTCTGCCGTTCAAATAAATAAATCTTGAAAAATAATAAGATAAAGAAAAGCAAAGCCAGTGAATGTCATTTTTTTTCTTCTCCTGAAACAATGTTTCACAGTGAAGTAGCTCAGCACACTCAGCACCAGGACCCGGTCTACAGTCCAAGGACACAGAAGGTGACCCCATGGAACCTCACACGGCCAACAGGATGAGGAAGAAGACCACCAAACTCAAGGGTCCATGGCCTAGGAGACTGCTGCTCCAGACAGGTGCCCATCACAGCCAACAGTCAAGGCCAGTCCCTGAAGCAGCACCAATGAACTTGGCCATTGGGTCCATTTCCCAGAAGGAAATACTGATGTGGGACTTCAGTGTGGGAGCTGCTTGGCAAGGCTGTTTCAGGAAGTCTCCTGGCCTAGTCAGGAAAGATGCTCCTACAGGCCCGACTCAGAATCCCGGGGCCAGGGTGCTCAGAGTTGGCAGAGCTGGAGGAATGGAGCGTGCCCTGGCAGTCCACTCTTGTGCAGTCTGCACTCCCACGGCCCTTGCAGCCCTTGCTGGGCTCACAGTGCCAGCTGCTCCAGGTCACCAGCACCAATGTGTTCACATCCAACTTGCCACTCTTGTTCCTAAAGCAAAAAGCTGCTTCTCTTCCATCAAACACCAACCTAGAAGGTCCGGCGTAGAGTGGAGAACAGGCCAGGCTTAGTGACAAGCAAGGACCAGTGCCCGACAGGGACCTAAGCTCTCATTGCCAAAGGCAAGCTGCCATCCCTTGGTCACCCCACTGTGCCAAGCTCAGCTGAGGGGCCTGGAAGCCCACCCTCCCCCTGACACACACACAGCCATCCTCGCCCTCCTGAGACAGCATAATCTCTAGTGTGGATGTCGCCCAGGGGTGGCAGGGCGGGAAGAGATTGCAACTTTTCACCACAGGGTGGTGTCTGAGGCCCCAAGGACAATCGGCTTTGCCTTATTTTAAGTAATAAGACAAAAAAAAAAAAAAAAAAAAGGTAAGATCTATTTAGAGGCAAATCAGCTCAGAGTCATTAGATAGACTTTCTTCCTACAGAATGGGGGTGAGAGGGCTTGTGGATGGAGACCAAGTGTGGATGTAAATTCCAGGTTCCCAGGACAGCCTGGTTCCCGGGATGGCCATCTGTGGAAACAGCTCAACAGCTGCTGGCCCCAGCAGGAAGGCCACAGGCCAGGAGGCTCTGAGCACCAGCAGGAAGGGGCTGGACGGGTAGTATCTGCTCCTACCCAACAGGCCCTCCCTACTTCATTCCTTCCCCAGCCATCCTCTGGGGCAACAGAAGGAAGACCAGGCACGGGCCCCCGAGGACACCGAGGGTGACTGACAGACGGGAACAACTGCAGAGACAGACAAGAACAAATGAGAACAGCTGAGGACACAGTGCCGACAGGGGAGCAGGAGACAGGTGGCCCTGCCCTGGGCCTGCAGGGTGAGTCCCTCTCACTGGTGCAGCTGTGTAGCTGCCAGTGCCACGGCAACAGGAAGTCAGGCTGAGACCGGTCTTCTCCAGGCTAAGCCAGAAGGACATGCAACCTGAGGTTCCAGGCCTGCCAGCAGCTCCCCTCGGGCACACAGCGATGAGCTGGTGCCTGGACAACCCGTGTCCATGCTCCTGGCCTCCTTAATCTCCAGAATCCAATCTGTGTCCCTCCCTCCCTCCACGGCCACTCACACGGCGGCAGGTCCATCAGAGTCATCCAGAAGCTGGCTGTGATCTGAATCCCCTAAGAAACAAACAGAAAGGTACAGAAAGTAGACTCCACCCTGGTCCAGTGAACCTGTCAACTAGGCCAGAACTGCTGGCTAACACGGGGAGCTGAGCACTAAAACGGGGAGGTCTGCCTCTCATGTGACCTCAGGATGCTTTGTCACCAGCCTGACCCAAGGTTTGGGCTCAATCATGAGAAATGGCTGAAACTGCGTGCCTTCCCTTCTCCAAACCCCAGTCTCCACGGAAGGGGCTGGATTTCCAGGGCCCCTAGTACCTGCAGTACTTGTCTTTGAACAGTCAATACATGTCCACCTGCTGAGCCAAGGAATGGTGTGACCGTTAGTGGCCTGGAACTCTTCCTTCTCCACACTGAAGTCATTTGGAGCTGGCCTGGCTGAGGGAGAAGGATGGACCAAGTCCCACAGTTACAAAGAAGCACCTAATGAGTGGTGCGGCAGAAGTGGAAGCTGGAGGGGCTGCTGCTGTGGCACAGTGGGCTAGGCTGCCATCTGCAGTGCTGCCATTCCATACGGATGCTAGTTCAAGTCTTAGCTACTCCACTTCTGATCCAGCTCCCTGATAACATGCTTGGGAAAGCAGCAGAAGATGACCCATGTGCTTGTGCCCCGTCATCCACTTGAAAAACCTAGAAGCTCCAGGTTCCTGGCCTTGGCCTGTTGGTTGTTGCAGCAATTTGGAAAGTGAATCAGTGGATGGAAGTTTTCTCCCTCTGTCTCTCCTCTAACTCTGCCTTTCAAATAAATAAATAAACACATCTTAGAAAAAGAAAAAAAATGGAGGCTGGATTCTTGACCAAATCCCAA